AACGGATGGAGACTATTATCATGCAGATATTATTAGAATTTGAGCATAGATTGTTATCGCCTCCATGAACTCGGGAGACATTTTGAGAGAGCTATGATTGAATATCTAATTTGTGCAACCCCACGCCATTAGTTTGAGTTAACACCGAGTGAATGAGAGCGAGTGAATAAGATAGGTCAGGAGTAATGTGGACAGAGTATTAAAAAATCATTGGTTTATCCAACGATGGAGCAAGAAATGCATCTATATGAACCCCGGTTTCTAAGTGGCCCTTTGGTTTATCAGAAGATACACAATCCATAGGACCAAAACCAAACTAGATTTTTTATTTAAAAAAACTGCAAGTGTATCTTTCACGTGTTTAATGTAGCATCCAGGGACGTCCATGCATGTGCATTTATTTGATGAGCTGGTTTGTTGTGTGACTCCCTTATCTGCCAGCTCAACAATAGCCTTCATTTCCTCAGACATACACACATTTTTTACCTTCCCAACAACAAGAAACTGAATGAAAGGATTCATTTTAGCGAATACACTTGCAACAGATTCAGACTGAAAGGCAAAAATTGAATTGTTGAAATAAATCAAATAGAAACTCTAAAAGAGTGTGTGAGGAAAGGATATTTCTCCATTAGGGCACTTTAAGCATTGCTGAACTATGTTATTCAGTTAGATTTTAGAAGCAGTCCATTGATCAAGAAGACACACGCTTGGCACTCTCAGACGCTGAAATACATGAAGATGCTATTAGGAACAGAGAGTAGCAGTAGCTTTCAAAAAATTGAGTTTTCTTCAAAGTGAGCCTGCAGTTCTGACATGTCCAATACTTGGATGCTCGTCTCATGATGTCATGTTCTGCATTGTGTACATCCGTCCGGGGAATTATAAGATACAATGACAGTGAGGTAAACCACAGCCCCCTCCTCAGATATAGCCTTGACAGAAGCATTTAACTTGCTTATTTCCAGGAATTGTTTATTTATTAGATTCCATTTGCATCTTGTTTCCCTCTGGCCGTTTTTAGATGTAGTTTATTCATTTAATTTGCACTGAATGAAGGAGATTCCTGGTCCCAAGACACCACTGGGGGGGATTATCTCTTCACTCTCTTCCAGTTGCTTTTTTTAATTCTGCTTGTGGCAAACTAGGCAACATTGCTAATGCACACACAGAAACCCTGAGCCTTTCTTCATCTCTCACAATTTCCAACACTTCCTCTTCACTTCCATAACACCTGCTTTCCTTCCTTCTGTCGTCTGTGCAGAACTGGCAATGGGGGTGTTCCCTCAAAGCTGCAAATACAGTCAAGGAAATTGTGTTATCGTCTCTGCATATTTACGTATATCTAGGTGCGGGATTCTGTGTTTGGCTATCCCTATTTATTATCTGCCTGTTCTAGGGATTTCCATGCTGTAGGACCCAGACATTTCCCGGAGGTGTCACCATGTGTTTCTAAGTTTTTCATTCTGTCACTTTTTCCGTGATTAGGGCCGTCTCCGTCCCAGACTGAGGTTTTAGTCGGACCCCCATGTGGGATATTCCCACTCGAGGCTGATTTGCCTGCATCTCCCTCTTCTTGAAAGTCTGTGCTGCGTTTAAAGGGCTGTCTGAATGTGTGTATGCATGTGTATGTGCGCTTGCATGTGTGCAGAATTGCCTCTGCGTGTCTGGGTTGTGCTCTCGGCAGAGTCTGGCCAGCACTGAGTCTGCTTCCGTGATGAGAGAGGCATCTGCAATCAGGGCCGTAACGCGATTACCGAGGTACGATGGCCCTGGGCCCTGGAAGGGGTCGAGGCACATGTGGATGGATGGAAGGCTAAAGAGGAAAGATGGAGGGGGGTCACAAACCCATCATGCATTGCAAGTGTTGCAGTGGGGGATGATTGAAATCGAGAATCTCATCTTAGACACCTGTGAAGAGACCTGTCATTTTCATACATTTGTTGTCTCCCACTGGCCTGCTTGTGCTTGTTCGTTTTTCCTATTATTACGCTTTCCTTCTGTCCCCTGTGCTTTCTGTTGCCTTCCAATTTCCCTGCCCTCTGCCCTGTGATGTCAGGTTTTTGTTAATTAACAAAATAACAGAAGATTTTCTGTGGTATTGGTTATTTTCCCCCGTAGGCTTGTTCTTTGTGTCCACGTATATTTAGCTTCCCTGTTCCCTGACCTTCCCCCCTGTTTCTCTCCTGTTAGACTTGACAGTTTGTGTTTGGACTTCCTCACACACACACACACACACACACACACACACACACACACACACACACACACACACACACACACACACACACACACACACACCATACACACATTCACAAAGACAATCCCTACCTATTTTCTCTCTTGCCAAACCCTCCTCCCTCATCCCCTCCCTCTCTGGCCATGCAGGGGCAGTGGCACTCACTCACTCCCATTGACAGATTACTTTCCTAATGGAATTTAAATATTTATCCCTTCCTCATGGCGATTTAGCCAGGAAAAGACCGACAGCAGGAGCACGAGGGAGGACAGGACAGGAGGGGAAGGGAGGGAAGAGGAAGGGAGAGCCGCTCATTTCCTCCAGTGGCATGAAGCTGCATCACCTCTGTTTTGATTTGGGGAGATGTCATTCAGAGAGAGGAGGAAGGGGGAGTGAAGGATGGTTGGAAGGAGGGAAAACAGGGAGGTAGACACAAAGAAACAGACGGGGCTGAATGAAGATGAATGATGACTGGTTTGCAGATGAAAAGCAATGTTCTGATCTGAAAGTCATAATGAATATACATGACGTTCGGTGACCTACTCTCCAACAAGTAAACAAACAGGAACGTATTTCTGTATATTTTTGTTACATTGACTTACATTCATTTCCTGGAAACGTAGCCTCACTTTATCCAGAAAACAAGTCGTAACGCATCAATTCAGTAGTTTACCTTAGGGCAACCAGCTTTTTGTCCCCAAGTGGGAGGTGAGTCCCCGTAATGTGACAATGCTACTAGATTTGTGTCCCCAGACAATGTGACTACACACTCGCACATAAACCTTTGCAAGTGTCAGACAACCTGTCTGTGCTTTCCTCTCTGTGTACCTCTTCAGTCGCTGTCACACACACCTCTCCGTCTTATTCCCTATATCTCCTCTTCCTTTCTTCTAGCCTTGTCTCTCACAGCGTTTCTCTCTTTTTGACTCTTCCTCCTGCTCTCTCCTTCCCTCTCTCTCTCGCTGGGGATCCTAATTAAGCTTGGCTGCTCTTTGATGTTGTCGCCTTGGCAACAGTCACCATGACGAGGCTGGGACTGCACACTCTCCCTCAAACTCACTCAGGCATACACAAGTACACACAAATACAGTACACACAAACACACACTAATGCACGCTCGCTAAAATCATTAAATAATACAGGCAGTGTTTGACCCTTGGTTCAAACGATAGCTTACACAATGACTCAAGGCGTGTGCGTAGGCTACATATGTGTGTAAACATGTTGGCTACATGCGTGCACACGCGTGTTACAACAGCTGAACAAGGGAAACACGTACAGCCTGCTGAGCCACATATAGATAACAATGAAATATGCAATGTGTGAATTCAACGGTGGTGAATGAAGCAGCTGAGCTTCGGTCCTCGTGGCAGCAGCCGGCTGTCATGGTCTGACGTTTGACCTGTCATTGTTGTTTTATTGTTTTCCTAAATAAATGTTTGTGTGTGCTTAAAGCCCTTGAGATGAATCATGTTGTAAAGAGCAATTGTTAGCACCGGCTGTTTCTCTGGGCAGTATAACACCCGGATAAACAGATTTACAGCAGGGGAGTTCCTCGTCTCTCTCGCTGTGCCACTGCAGGCGTGAAGACCTTTTTGTTCATCATTTATTCCTCAGTGTTGTAAAAGTGCACATAATTGCAATATTTAGCAATTAAAAATGTAATAAAGGTGACCAATTTCAATCAATGCCTCAAACATTTTACAATTTGCAATTATTTTTCAGTTTTTCTGAAGAAACCCATTCAACAGAAAAGATTAACACCTTCTTAGTGCTATAAACAGATGGAAATAGGTTCAAGGTTCAAGGTTCTTTATTGTCAATCTGACATAGCTACAGAGTAATTATGTAGTTGAAAATCTTATGTCACAGGCTTCTCCAACAATGCAACATAATAACATAATAACAATAAGAGCAAGAGCAATACAAAAAGAATAATAGTTATAAAATAAAATAAAGTGATGATGTGGAATAGTGCAGTACGAGTCTATATACAAGTTATTGGAATGATATATATATATTAGATACATACTACTGAGTAGCAGATGAATGTTTGAAGTTGTTTCAACAGTTCCATTTTTTAACAGGTCTCCTGTAATCTAAAATCGACTGGCAAATTTCTCTCCGAATTCTCCTCAGTTCCTCTGCACTTCCTCCATCTATTTCCCCCTCTCATCAGCCACACCATCCCCCCCCACCCACCCCCAGCAGCTCCTGTCACCGCCGTCTAGAGGAGGGCCCTCTAATGAAACCTTGCCACTTCCTTATAACAACAGCTTTGGCGACAATATCAAGAGTAACCACAGCAATTATGACCACGAAACACCAACATACAGAGAAGGAAAACTGCAATTCAATTCATGTTTTAAGTGGTCCTGCTCATGGCACTGGCAGGGAAACAAACAACGTTTTTTTTTTATGAGAAAATATATTGTGAGTCTGATCAGAAGTAGCCTGTTTCTGAGGAAAAGCTGCTTCAGATGACTTTGGTTTATTTTAGGAAGAATCTTAGGTTATATGTAAATGAGCCAAAGCGCTGAATAGATTACTGATTGCATGGATGGTGTTTTACATCTCAGGAAAATAAACATTTACTCTAAATTGCTGCTGGTTTGTTTAATCATCAAATCACTCAGCTGTTCTGACGAGTGGCCCGTTCCAGGAGAGGAACATGATGAAAAGGTTGCATAGGGACGCAGTCAAAAAAAAGTGCAACTCCTTCCCTCTTTAAACTCTCCTCGTGTGCTTCCTGTCCCTGCAGCTGTTCGTCATCGACAACGGAGCCGACGACTGGCGCATCGCCATGACGATGGAGAGGGTTCTGCTGATCTCTCTGGAGCTGCTGGTGTCCGCGGTGCATCCCGTGCCAGGAGACTTCAAGTTTCAGTGGCGGGCGCGGCTGGCCTTCTCGTACGCGCCGTCGCAGGCCGAGGCCGACCTGGACATGGTGCTGAGCGTGCCCATGTTCCTGCGCCTCTACCTCATCGCCAGAGTCATGCTCCTGCACAGCAAACTCTTCACCGACGCCTCCTCCAGGAGTATAGGCGCCCTAAATAAGGTGAGAAGGGTTTTGTGTGTGCGTATCTGCAGTACACATTCAAAGAGTGTCTGTCAAAGCTCTGACCAGAGAGATGTGAGGGGGTTGTAAAGGTATTAAGGTCAAGAGCGTTCTGCTCAGAATTAAATCTGTGACCGCCTTGTCCCTTTCATTCTTGGCCTCAAACTCTTTAACTCTCTCAAGTCCCTTCTGCCGCTTTGTCCTCCTAGTCACACGGATTCTATTCATCTCCCACTTCAAATGCCCTTTCTCGTCTTTGTCATTGTCGCACACGGAGACTTAGATGTAAGCTTTGGTGGATCCTTCATAATACAATATGAGACAGGAGCGTGAAATGAGAACAAGATACTGCGTACGCCTGAAATGGGGCATGAAAGAAAAGGAGTAGAGTGAGATTGCAATACGAGCGCGGAAAAACATGTACAAGCAATGAAATAAATGGTAGGTGCCACGTTTGTAATGACTATAAACGACAAGCGTTCTTGTAAAATCAGGAAGTAGGGATGTAGCGTGTGGTGGAAGTATGCAAACTACACAGAGGAGGAGGATAGGAGATGGAGTAGATTTTATATTGGTAATTTAGCGTTATGAGAGCGTATCTGCGATGGCACTGTTCTGCCCCTTCAGGCTGTAGTGACAGGGAGTGGAGGTGAAGCTGCAGCTCTGATATGACAACTCATTTATCAGCTGCTTAACCCTTCATGGTGTCACCCATTGCTCTCAGATCCTCCATCTGCCAGTAGCTGATAACAAATGAGCCACGGATAAAAACTACACTGAAATAGGCCAATTACTCAAAGGCACTATATAGCTTGACCCGAGTCAGAGGGCGAGCCCTGATCTTGACTCCAATTACAGTGAAGATTCTCAGACTGCTGCCGCTGTCAAACGCTACTCAGAAAACTCATTAGTAAAACATCGAGTCTGTGTGAAATACACATGGAAAACGTGTGTATTACAATGCCATTTATCAGCTCTGCTATACTGAATGTTTGAACTTGTGTGTGTCTTGCAGGTGCATTTTAATACACGGTTTGTAATGAAAACCCTCATGACTATCTGCCCCGGGACGGTGCTGCTGGTCTTCAGCATCTCTCTGTGGATCATCGCTGCCTGGACCGTGCGAGTGTGTGAGAGGTCAGTGGCTAAGCTGCTCCGTTTGGGAGTGTTGTGTTTTAAATCATGCATTAGAGTGACAGACTGTGATTGGACTAGGGATTCAACTGAGCAATACAATTCATTTGGCAGGAAATGTGATCTGGGACATGTGTGCAACATAATCCATCTTTAGACTTGAGTTTATGAGGCTTTCTCACCAGTTGTACAATTAATTTGATCCAGGCGATAGAGTTGTTACTTAGTTTGTCCATTTCCTCTCATAAATCCACAACATAATTGTCTGCTGAAAGACAATCAAACACTTTATTTTAAGCAGTATCCAAATACGTAATTTTGTTACAGCAAACTCTAATGTAATTGTAAGCCCATATAAGGACATTTATATTGGATCATTTGTCAACCATACCTTCCCCTATGACGCAGTGTAACAGGTATGAATGATTGGTAACACAGTGGAAAACATGCTGTATGTTATATTAACATATATGAGCAGAATGTGAGCATGTTTTTACTGTTTATTCATGTGTACAATCATCCACAGGCCGGTTTAAAACTTTTTATGAATGTGATTACCACATGTTGTGTTTAGTTTATTTGACATGGGGAAATAGCATTTTGAAAAATGATTCTATAATAGTTTACAATTTGGGGAAAAGAGCTAGATGTCAAGGGGATTACCATTACTCAGATCTATTTCTCGGCAAGAAAATCAAAAAGCTTATTTCCCAAAAGGTGCATTAACTTAATGTGCAGTTACTACATTTCCCTTTCTGCTGCTGGCCTTGTCATGTAATTGGTTGATGATTGCTAGGTTGTCAAGGAAAGTGAGAAAGTATTTAGTGATTAAAAATTCTTCGTTAACACATTAAATACGAATAAATATACATATACATACCAAAACCTATATTTATATCATAATGACTGTTGTATTAATTATCAATCATTCATTCGTCATTTATATTTAGTAATTGATTATTTACTGCTTATAAATGCAAAATAAAGGGTTGAAATCCCTTTAATACGTTGCAATGTATTTTAGTAATTTTCCCCGTGATATCCTGAAAGTTGTTTCTATGTACATAGGTAGACGAATATATTTGACTTAAATACTAAGTATAAATTGATAAAGGGGCCCTATTATGCTTTTTGGGGGTTTCCCTTTCCTGTAGTGTGTTATAAACAAATGTGTGCATATTAATGGTCTGCACGGGCTGAAATCCAGAGGGAGTTTCTCTCCCACACAATCCCCCCTCTACCTGAAACGCCTCCATTGGACTCCATTGTTTACTTCCATCACATAGTGACATCACTACGTAACACTCTGCTTGTATTGGCTAGTCCTCCAACACATTGTATGTGATAGGGAGCGAGACATCTCTATGCGGTTGACCAATCACAACAGAGCCGGCCAGCTGCCCAATCAGAGCAGACTGGGCTCTGGTTTCAGACAGAGGGTGAAAAGAGATGCTGCAGCACAGGCAGTATGAGAAAATAAATACCTTTTTGAACATTAAAGTATCTAAATATGTCAAAGTAGAGGCACTAAATAGACATTTGAACCTGAAAGTACGCGTAATAGGCCCCCTTTAACATAACATAACATGTTCAAATGTAATATCTGACAGTGTCCTCTCACTCTTATTTCAAACCACTTTTGAATTGTAAATTAAATTGTCTGCTCAGATTTAAAGATTGATAATCTGATTATGTGAATGATGTTCTTGATGTAACATCAAGTGGAAAGCAAGTAGTGACCATCACTTTCAATGAGTTTAAACGCTTTTGGAGATAATCAAGGAAATATGGGAAAATGTCAGTTGGTTAATAAGCTTGATTAAATGCATCATTGCCCAGCTGCTGGGAAGCTATTATTTGGTCGACATTCAAGTTTAATTGGCATTTCCTCTCTTATCCAAATAAAATTATCGAAAGATAAAACATACAAAACTCAATTAAACTGCTTCAAACAGGGTGAAATCTGAGAGTTTGGAGTGTGTCACAAGGCTAGAATAGAGAACATCTAGCTTAGAGCAAATGTTTCTCTTGTCAACAATCAGGACTACAATTAACAGGTCGTTTTTGTTGAATGGGTTTTGAGAAAACAACTTTGTTTCAGATGCGCACCAGGTTTAGTCGCTATGGCAACAGTGTTGTGCACAGGGCAGGAACGATGGCGGAAAGAGATGCTGTTTATGTGTTTTTAGGTCACGTGTTTGAGGTTTGACGCCCACGTTAGCAGACAGGACCAGTGGGCCAGTCAAGTTGTTTGTTTATGTATTTATATTTCACTATTGACTGACTTTATTCTCTGAACACGGACGGTGTTTCTTTTTAGGTACCATGACGCTCAGGATGTGACCAGTAACTTCCTGGGAGCCATGTGGCTTATCTCCATCACCTTCTTGTCCATCGGCTATGGAGATATGGTTCCTCACACTTACTGTGGCAAAGGAGTCTGTCTCCTCACAGGGATCATGGTGAGTGCATTTCCTCCCTCCCTTCCTCCCTCTTGCTCTCCCTCCCTGAGGCGCTGTCCTTGCCTCGTTCAAAGGTCAGCAGATTAGAGAGCATGCTGTCATTTTCCAGAGAAATTCTGCCATTTGTGTAATTTGGGCAATTCTCTTTGAATTAGCCTGCATCTGTGCTCGTGTGTGTGCGCTTGGGTGTGTAGGCACGCAAACAAGAGCCTGTGTGTGTGTGTGTGTGTTTGTGTGTGTGTGTGTGTGTGTGTGTGTGTGTGTGTGTGTGTGTGTGTGTGTGTGTGTGTGTTCATGCTATTGCCTGTCCTCATTGCATAATGAAGGTCCCACCTTTCAGTGTGCCATGTCCTCCCACTCTCTCTCTCTCTCCCTTTTCCTCTCTGTCCGTCTCTCCTTCCCTGAGGCCATGTGTTTATTTCGATGTGCCATCCATCTGTTAGTATCAGTGTTCAAGCCGCCTGCTCCCTCTATTTGCATCCCTCACAGGTGTTCTTCCCTCTTCAACTTTTCATTTCTGTTTGTCTCTCCTGCTTTCTTTCTGTCTTTGTCTCCTTTCCTGTATATGTTTTAATTCACTGACCTTTTCTTCATTCTTCCTTGCAACCTTTCGTGTAAGCGAATACCAAGTTTTTAAATTGGTCAACTAATTATAATAAGTTAACATAATAATTTGAACATAGCCTCATATTTGTACGTGCTCTCATGTTAACACAACCTGCTTTGAATACTTTGGAAATGATTGTCATTTCAAATGAAAGAAAGCTAGATTTCTTTTGAATAGCTCCACAGCTAAATGTCAAGTAAAGTCTAATTTAATGTGCTTCTAATTACGGCGGCTTTGGCTGATTCTTAATAAGGTCAGGAAAGGAAGAAGAAAGAGCTAAGAAATGATGATGATAATATGTTACCTGGGATTATTCCTCTCTTAGGACACGGTGTGCCACATGTTTTATATAGCCAGTGGGGAGAGTACCGTGAGTAATAGAAGACTCTGCGCAGCTAAAACGATGAAATTCACTACACAGTGGGTGTCTGAGTTAGAGATAACGCCGTTTTAAAAAAATAAATGATGTAATTGTATAACTAATATAACTTGTTTACTGCAGCATCCTTATGTGCCACGAAATCGCATACCTACAAAAAGATGAGAAAGACCTGGATGAGACATTTGAAATGTATTTTTTCATTTACTAGATAATGCCACGGAGGTCACTATTGTCCTTTTAAAAAAGAAAACTGAGGAAATCATTGCACATAAGCTTTAACAATGCCAGCAGCAGAGATGAGCCTGTGGAGGTAATGTGCTCATACAAAAGAAAAACACTACTTAACATTTGAATAAGCACTCCTTCACAGTGCTGCCATTAGTCAAGTTACATTAGATGTGATAATGTGACCACTATCACAGTGATGATAAGAAACACGCAGAAGAGTCTCTGAATTTCGTTTTCTTGTTATTGAAATAACAATAAAAGCTGGTGAAACAGCATTTCTACATCAGCACATGCCTATTCGTAATGCACTTGTGCTGAGTGTGTATGATGTTGTTTGTACTTGAAGTCAAGCAGCAACCAACATGCCTTAATATTGAAGATGTTGTATATTAAGAACCTTTCAAATCTGTTCATAGACTGCTGGATGAGGGTTGAAGAAAAATCAACAGAGCAATTAAAAAGGCCCTCGGCATAACTCTCAAATCAAAAAGTAAATCAATATTTTCCACAGCAAAAAAGCAACCTCACTTATTGTAAATATTAGTGCCGTTTTAGAGATGATTTCACTATAAGTAACAATAATATGCAGCGCTGGCTAGAACACATAGATCACATTATTTTGGTGTCCATATTTCTCTCTATCTTTTTATAACATCCCCACAAAAACTCAATGTGTCTGTCCAACTCCAGCACCCCTACTTCCTATAATGTGAAGCCCATTAAATGTGCAAATAAACACACTCGTACACAAAGACTCACACAAACAGACCCCCTTATTTGAAGGGTGAATCATCCAGTTTTAGAGTACAACTCTTTCATGTGAACACACACTCACAAAGACAAAACAGGGGGTGGATGTAGAACGTCCCGAGCCCACTGTTACAGACTGCATCCCCCACACAACTCTGACACAGAGCTTGACATTCACTTTTAGTGTAACTCCCACACACACTCTACTCTCCTGTCACACAAACACACTCTCGTTGCACTCTTCAGAGAGGCTTATTCTCGTTGATCATCAGAGGAGTAGTGAGGATGCAGGTCGAGCCTGAGGTTTGTGAGGAGACGTTTTTTAAAGTGGGTAAAAGGTCGAGGCCAGGGAACAGGATTTGATTTGTCTCCTTATAATAATAATTATTATTGTAATGAGTTTCTTTATAGGAAATTCTTGCCGTAGTTACTATGACAACACATGAAGGAATATACCATCGCCCGAGGATGTGTGTGTGTGTGTGTGTGTGTGATGTGTGTGTGTGTGTGTGTGTGTGTGTGTGGTGTGTGTGTGTGTGTGTGTGTGTGTGTGTGTGTGTGTGATGTGTGTGTGTGTGTGTGTGTGTGTGTGTGGTGTGTGTGTGTGTGTGTGTGTGTGTGTGTGTGTGTGTGTGTCGTGTGTGTGTGGTGTGTGTGTGTGTGTGTGTGTGTGTGTGTGTGTGTGTGTGTGTGTGTGTGTGTGTGTGTCATTGTGGGTGGATGGATGGTGGTAGGGTGGACATGCTGATGTTCTATACGGCAAAGGGTGTTTGTTGTTTTAATTACAACTCATGTTGTATGTTACAGTTCATGTGTGTTTTTTCCCACACCTATATATTCATGTGTGTATGATGTTATGACACACTTATTGTAGTTATATGCAAATATGACTGTTTAATGTATTCATATATTGCTCACCAACTCAAGCACTCATCTTGATTAGTGCTTGATGTTTAAACAGACATTTGTATAGAAAACATTGTATTTTATCAAATATAAAATATGTCTTCATATACAAAGCTATAAATGTAAAATAAATTGTACCTTGAACTCTTAAAATGGTCTAATATCTGCATACTACAATATATATATGAAACGTTTATATACTGGTTACAAAACGTGTCACTTATGTTTGCCATTGACTAAAGCCTCTTGATATAAGCCCTCTGTAGTTCTTGAAGGGCCATCAGGTTGAAGAGAGTGTAGTTGCCATTTCAAACACATGTTTGCTTCTGCCTGCCTCTTTAGTGTTTATACTATGCACTCTAATTAAGGAAAATGTGTGTGTTTGAGAAACTTCTTTCAACTGCATCAGGCTTATAGGGATGCTGTTTTTTTTTTTTTAGATGTTACAAAGGAGCACAGATGGGTGATTCCTCCTTTTCTGACAGCGTAGATTGCTGCACTGTAGTTGAGGAAGCGAAGGAAACACCCGGGCGTATGAAACAAATCACAGCAGCCATCATCAGCCGTGTCACTCTGGAGATTGCACAGGGAACCCTGCTGAAATCAAATGGATGCACAAACAAACTCACATGCACACGCACACACACAGCCTGCCACGACAAACTAATCAGCACCCCGTTGTTTCTGACCGAGGAGGACAATTTCAAACGCACACTCGCACGCACAGTTGGATAAGTGCAGGCTGCCCAGCTCTTGTACATACTGTACTGTAGAAATCCATCCAGGGGTCTTTTCCCTGAAGCACCGGCATGTATGAATTTGCTCTAAGGGTTTTCCATCGGCGCTATCATATTTTATTCATAGTTTTTTGAATAAACACAAATAGAGTGGATGAGTGTATGGACGTGGGCACTAATGCCTGTTTGTGCGTTACATTTTACTGAACCCAGCTAAAGTTATTTATGGCAAACCTGTCTTATCATTCAAAAGTGTGCACGGTGAAGTCTTGGCTATTTCCGACACGCTTCAAAATGTTGTATGCCCCCTCGCCCTCGCTCTCTAACTCACTACGTTTCCCTCCTTATCTCTTTTACTCTCTCTGCACACACTCTCGAGCAGGAAGGAAGAGCACTCATACATTTTCATTAAACACTCTTAATCTTAATTCATTACTTATCAGGAGATATGTGACCCCATTAACATTGCCTTCTTCTCCGTTTTTTCTCTCCTCTTATTCTCTGCACACCCCCTCGCCTCGTGAACCGCACCCTCTCTCCAACCCCCTGGTTTTTCTTTCCTTCTCCATTTTATATTTACTCGTGGCTTTTTTTTTTATCTTCACCTCCTTTTTTTCCTCTCTGATCCACCCCTTCAGAGGTACCTGTGAGCGCTCGACAGCCCCACTGAAAATAGTGTCTAATCTGAAAGTTAATTAAGTCTGTCTTCCTCCCCATGTTCCTGCTCCTCTTCTCCACCCAAGCATGTCTTTCTGGTTGAGGGACTGCTGTCACTCTCTCCCAAATGAATTTGCCATATGTCCCATGTGGATCGAGCTGGAATACTGACAAACCATTTGGTGTTTCATACTTTTTTACACTTCCTGCAGGCCTCGAGCCTCCAGTGACAGGAGAAGACCGACACCATGTAATTCAGATCGACAGCATCCAATTAAATAAAATTAGGTGGTGTCAATCCTTGATGTGTTTTTTTTAATCTAAAAGTAAGATATTTCTTAGCTCCATATAGAGGCGATATAGAAGGGATCTCACACCAGATGGATTGGAATTGAAAATAGACTTGGCTCGCCGCTCAACATGAGGAAATGTGGATCTTGAACAGAGCCATCCCTCTTAATCCTCGCCTCGCTCACATGCACTTCTCCTTCTGTCGCACGGCTCCCATCCTCATATTTGTCCTCGTTCCCTTCAATCATCTCGGCTAATTCTCCAGCCAAAAGCCCCTGATTTACCAATTCCTCCTCTACTGACTGACTGAGTGCTCTCTTTTCTCCTCCATCCCCTCTCTCTCTGTCTCTCTCTCTCTCTCTCTCTCTCTCTCTCTCTCTCTCTCTCTCTCTCTCTCAGGGTGCGGGCTGTACAGCTCTGGTGGTTGCCGTGGTAGCCAGGAAGCTGGAGCTCACCAAGGCCGAGAAACACGTACACAACTTCATGATGGACACGCAACTCACCAAGAGGGTAGGCTTGTGTGGTGTGAATGAGAACTATGATTGTCAAAGAAAGCACATGTTCTCTGCACACACCATGATTGGCACTCCAACAGCACTTTTGTTATTTTGTTACAGTTATTTTGTGTAATCGTCGTATGGCACACAGCCTACTATATTTTCAGATTTCTTCTGGGCTATAAGGAGGTGCTTGAGAGCCCGGTGAAAAGGCTTGTTCTTCCCTCGCCCCTCCTTCACCCTCCCAAACTGCTACACACCACTATCACTCTGTATTGGTGTGACAGATTGCCGTGTCATTTGAGTGAGTGAAGGCAATAAGAGGTCAACTCTTTCTCGCTCTCTGCTCTGCTCCCTCACTCTCTCTACCTTCCCATTTCCAATCTTTTTTCTCCCACTTGGCTATCCTTCCAGTAAATCCCTTTCTCTCTTATTTTTCTTTCTCTGTCATCTTCTCTCATCCCTTTTTCTCGTGCCCTTTCCTTCCAATAGTCCTTGCCCCCTCCGTGCCTCCTGCCTTCCCCCCTCTGCTCCTTTTCAATTTTTCATACGGTTGAAGCCCAAGTTTTAAAAATAGCTCCCATATCAAATATGTAGGGTATATTATGGCAGCAGCGTATGTAGGATGTAGTTGACTGAACAGGGCAGATTTATCAATATTTTGAATAAGTGCAGGCAAAATATTTACAGAGAAGCTGAATGGGTTCTCTGCGGAGGCTCCTCTCACCTGAACGCCTGCAGCCTCTGGGCAGGTCAACCAGAGTGTGTTTTCACAAGATGTTTAACACCTGTGTGTGGTTGTGTGTGTGTCTGTGTGTATTTGTATTTACTTACAGTGTGGAATTCAGCTGACCTCCTGATGAAACTGTTCCCAACTTTAACCCCCATTTTAAATTCATTTTAAACAGCATTGATCTTTTAAGGTGGATAGTGTTACAAAATCGTTTATGTAAGTACAACTTGAGTTCTTTTTTTAATTTAATCAATCCTAGCAATTGTGGGTCAGTCCATCAACCACTTTGGTGGTGAACCGACAGAATATCTCATCAATTATTACTGGCCATGAGAGTGATGATATTTGATGTTCAGACAATTAGACCTATGACTTTGGAGATTCCTCGACATTTCTTCCACAATCATCAACTGGAAATATTTGGCCCCTCGTGTTTGGTTTAAATCTGCTCTCGTGCCATTGATACAAATGGAAACGTTATACCACTCATGGTGTTTTAGTTAGCCAGTAACCAGTACAACTGGTTGGTTGGAGTTGTGTTATTGTAGCTGGTTGGTGTGATCAGCAGACTCTGATTTAACATTTTTATTTTTGTATTTCTATTATTATCATAGATCTTTATTGAACAAGGACCATGCATAACAATACATTAAATTACATTTATACATAAGAACATATGTGAATATATCTTAAATCAAATATTTATTCATTTTATCAAATTAGCTACCCTGCAATCTTTTCCACATTTCTTTCATATTTAAAATAGAAAATAATGTTATGTATCTCTCTTTACGTCATTGCATTGATATTTATTGCATAAATATACCCCCGTAGATAAAGACCATACATTTTAAAGTGTATGTCCTCCTCAATCAAGTAAAGTACTATATTTGAACAAAGCCAGTAATCATGTTTGGGAGGCGCCAAACAGCAGTTCTATTCAACACAATGCAGCATGCTGCTTGATGACATTTCCTTCAAAGGGTCTTTGGTTTATGTGGTGGTAATCGTCTTCTGCCCTCTATTACTGCGAGAGCAATGATTGAAGCTGTTGTATGCTCATTGATTTACATGGCTGGGGCCATTCTCTGCCATATCGTCGTAACAAGAGAATACAATCACTCAAGGCTTCACAATGAATAATGCAACGATCGACTTTACATCCTGCTGTCATCGTATGTACACACACACACACACATATACACACACACACATATACACACACAGACACACACACACAAAAGCACACCCACTGGCTTTGTACTTGGGTGAAATGGTGTTTCCTTCCCTTTGAAGGATTACCAAGAATGTCAATTAAATGTCAATCAGTGCAGCTTATTGCCAGTGGCCCCCTGTTGTTTGTAATATCTGTGTTTAATTGACAAGACTGAAATCTTGTGTGGTGCAGAAGACCTTACAACCTTATCAAGGAAGATGATGTGCTTTAAAAACATTGATCAAAGTTCAACGCACAGGGTTCATTTTAATGCAGTGATCAATTATTACGATTAATTAATTTTTGTATTGCATAACAGTAAGCATTGCCGCCATGTCGACAATGTGAGTGAGGTTGTAGGCACTCATGTTTTATGTCTGGACTTGTTGTCTTGATGCAGAGTGTTAAAGCGCCTTCACAGGCTTCCGCTCTGGTTGCAGCGGTGTGTGTAGTGGCTCCACAGTATTGGTTCATTCAGAGCACTGCTGAAAGTCCATCTGGTCAGAACATCGCTCTATCGTTCACCGAGCACTCTCAACACGGAGAAACAGGACACACTCACTGTAGGTGCTACGTCAGTTAAGTGGTGTGTCCTTCTTTTTTTCAAGGCACTTTTGAATGCCATTCATTGAAGCAATGGGCCGTGACCGTGTAAATATGGCTGTTTCTGAGGTCACTATTTCTGTTTCAAGCTTCTTTTCTTTTTTTAAGTCTCGGTTAAAGAAATTGTATTCATTTCTGTACATTTGCGCTCGGAAAGTGTCTTCAGCCTTCACTCTGGACGATTGGTTAAATCAGAGCACTTTTAGAAGTCCCTGCGGCATATTCAGAGCTTCACCCTTTCTGAATATTCAGAGTGCACTTTGGGCTCCGGCCAAGAAGGTGGTGCTGCAGCGCCTTCCAATGTTTACACCACTAGCCAAATGGGAGCAATCTAACCCCCAAAGATTTCTACTAAGCTATCTTTCACTCCACTTAGTAAAAAATAACTCCTCTTCCCACAGCCTTACATATGCAAAGCCAGATGAATCATTATTAGTGTGGATGTATTGTGACGGCGACTAAAATAAATGTGACACCCAGTAAATGCATTTACACGTCTCTCTGATGTTCTTTAAACCAGATGAACATGAGCGTCCTCTTGCTTTAAATGCGGCCCTGTCTAGATCTGACCTCATTCAGGAGACAAAAATACACATATAAAACCAGTGGAAGCTAATTGTTTGTGTGCATTTGTGGAGCATGTTTGCGCGTGAGTGTTGTCTCTTCCCTCTGCCATAATGCTCGGTAGAGGAAGGTCAAAGCAGATAGGGCCACGGGTCGCAGATGAGGTGGGAGGTTGTTTCCAAGGTAATTAGTTTGTTTGTTTATGTTTTCTGCTCTCCTAGGGAACACCATTGAATCTCTAGCACCACAGCACCTAATTACTAATTACATACATACATACCGTATGTCATAGGTGCCGTATGTCGTGTCATCAAGGCTCTCCTGGGTTGAAGGGGTCAGGCGCCTCGGCTTTTCCCCTGATGTTAGAAAACTGTATCCATCACAACAGCAAATGAATGGAAAACAATCCAGGATTTTCTTTCCTTTTCAGTATAAGTAACAATGGAAGAGACCAGTTCTAATTTCCATATATCTTTGTGGTATCTTCATTTTTGGACCCATTTTTTTTAGAGAAAGAAAAATGTGATTATTATTATTATCAGTGTTTGTGTCTGTGATGACTGATTGATTTATACTGCACAATATGTCATCGACCATCCAACATGCTGAGATGTGGGAACCCCTTGTTTCAACATATTTCTCTTGTACCTGCCATAAGGTGTGCCACGTAGGGGGGCAACCACAACAGATCTTTGACCCAAACCAGCCATATGGCGCCAACATGCAGGCCCAAGAACACACCATATGCTCCGCAGATAGCTGCTGCTGCCGTCGTTTGGTTTCTTGTGGAGTATTCTTAGCGGCTTACATGTTTCTGTAAATGGAGTGGCCTCAGTTTCTACTATTACTCCCAGGAGGAGGGAGAAAGAGAAGTAAAGAGGGCAGTGGGAAGAATGAACCATATAATCAAATCTGGGCAATATTATCAGTGCCTGTCATTTGCATGCAGAGCAGTCTGCAGGTTTTAAATGAAGGGTGAGGCTTTAGCATCGTCTAATTAAATGGCCTGAAGCAGTGCAACAGCATACTGGACAGGTGTTTGAAGTGTGTGTGAACACTTCCACAGCGGGCCGGCCGGAGCAATACACAATGTCATTATTCATCATATTTCACTCACTCTGCAATGATTAATGAGCTGATAAATAGGATTTGACATATCAATTTACCTATTGACCTGTAGATATGAGGAGTGTTAAATGTGCTCTTCAGTAACCACACACAAGATAACTAAAGATAAGACATAATCCAGGTAAATTTACTTTTTACTGACAATCTTACATTATGCAAATATCCTCTGCAGCGCAGTTGTGATTTTGCATTTTATGTTAAAACACTATCTTAAAAAAATACAATGCTACCATAAAGAAATTAGAAGATGATGTTGATGTATATAGCCTTGGCCCCACTACCGAGATGATGCCTCTTCTGGATCTTTGCAGCTCTGTCAGGGTCTGTCGTTGCTACATGGATGGGAGCTCTGTAATCCTATTGATACACTGTGAGACGAGGCTCAGAGGGAAGAACATGGGATAGCCGGCTTTAAATCATACAGCAGACCTAGATTTACATTCAAATCACATTGGTCATGGCCTGTGAACTGAACATACATTTTCTTTAAATTAGTGGGGTTTATTAACATGAAAATTGCCAATCTTATATGTAAACAAGCCGTTATAAGTTGAGGATAGTGAGTGTTTTGACTGTCATCAAAAGTGATAGGTGACCCAATCTCCTAATGGGTTTTTATAGATTTCCAAGAGTATGTTGGATTAGCTGGTTTCGGTTTGACTTCCTCCGTCATTGAAAACACATCTGCAAGACAGGGCCTCCTACTCTCTTCATCTGTGGCCAACAGTGTGTTTGTCTAGATGTGTTTATGTGTAGGCGTGTATGTGTGCGAGCAGTCCTTGACTGCGGTGGATAGGGGCTGATTAGCCAAGCTGCCGGGGTCTTTTGTGCTCCTCGGACGGGATATAATTGTTCTTTGTTCAGTGCTCGGCATCCCTTTGAAGTCTCTCATTCATGTTATGTCCTTACAGATTCCCTCTCCCTTCTCAATGGTATCCACCCGCGTTATTATTTTTTCTGGGTGTCAGAACCCCTGTGTTTTAATAACATAGCAACGTACAGAGATGTTCAGAATGTGAACATTATAACAGATATGGATAAAAATGTATGTTACTGAATCCTTATTCTAGTCCAAATTGACCTGAAGCCTAAACATTTTGAGCAAGTCTTTTATTAAATCACAGCAATCTTACATTAAGATGGTCCATATAACCTTATAATAATCTTGTTATTATTTCTGATGGCTGTTAGGCTTGACCATGAGTGAGGCTATTTCTCTATTATGTCTCTACTGCAGGGATGGGGATTGCCTTTGACAGCTCGTTTAAGAGCAGCAACTCATTATGCCATTGTTTCTTTCAGTTGCTGTCATAATTAAATGGAAGATCACTGGTTTTAATGTGCATCGACACTGTGCATTACTTCTAACCAGCTGAGATGATGCAGCCCATTTGAGTTAGTCTAACATATTATGTGGCGTATAGACAGACCGAGAGGGGAGAGAAGTGTGTGAGGGGGAGACTCCTGTTGGTTCTCATTACCTAAACTCCCAAAGGAGAGAGCTGTTTACGCGTGCATGAAAAGCATTGGCAAGGAAGCCAGTGTGTAAACAGAGATACGGAGAGAAGGAGGGCAGACTCCAAGAAGAAAAAATGTTTTAATATGTAATAATATGATTTAATATTTCACAGGCAGACAATGGAGAATACAGTGGGCCTGTTCTCCTGTACAATAGCTACAAACCTGTTTGAAGGAGAAAGGTTTGGTTCCCAGGTTTGCTTAGCCACTGGGCAAACCTGTTGCCTGCTTCTGTTGCCAAGGGCTACCTGTTGCTAACAATGTGTGTGTCTGTGTGTTTATTGTCTGCGAGCAGATAAAGAATGCAGCGGCCAACGTGCTGAGGGAAACCTGGCTCATCTACAAATCTACCAAGCTGATAAAGAAGATCGACCACTCCAGAGTCCGCAA